TCTCTCTCTCTCTCTCTCTCTCTCTCTCTCTCTCTCTCTCTCTCTCTCTCTCTCTCTCTCTCTCTCTCTCTCTCTCTCTCTCTCACTCACTCTCTGACTTCATGTCTGTCACTTTCTTTCTCCCAATGCTCTTGCATACGCTGTCCCTCCCCGCCTAGCCGTCCGATATACCATCCACCCGTCTGTTTTTGCGAGGGTGACGAGTTGATCGGCTCGTCTTACGCCTTGGGTCGGGGGAGCTGATCTCCCCCCGTGGCCACGGGGCTTTTCCACTTTGTGTATCCGCTCTTCTTTTCCGTTTCCTCGCTCCTTCCCCTCACCACCTCTTTCCCCTCCGTCGCGTACACGCTCCACCCCCGTTTTCTCGTTCCTTCCACCGCGGATCCTACCTTCTCTGTGCGACGATACGTGAAGGTTACATTTACCATCCCTCAAGCAGATCAATCTCGTCAGGAGGCAAATCTCAAAAGCACATGCCCAAACAAGAGCATAGGACAATCTTGAATCCGCAATTTCCGTTTGAGTGATAATACTCTCCCAGGTATTTCACTCAGAATGGACATGCTCTGTACAATCCAATTGAGGTAACTGCATATTTAGATTCTACCGGCTCTGTGCGGCGATACGTGAAAGTTACATTTATCTTCCTCAACCAGATCGACAGGCTGTTTCCAAATATGACCTCGTCGGAAGGCAAATCTCAGAAGGAGCATAGGGCATTTTTTTACAGCACGGTTGAGCAGACAAGCGTCTCCGCGCACCCCACACACACGCACACACACACACACACACACACACACACCCCCACACAGAGAGAGAGCGAGAGAGGGGGAGAGAGAGAGAGAGAGAACCGTCTGAACGATCTATGAGTGACCAGCGGGTGGGGAGATTAAAGGTGGAGACGACTAGACGATGAAACCGCTGTTTCAAATGCTCGACGTGGTTGACGTCGAATCAACGTTTCGTTGTTTACTTGTTATATAGTGCTTGTCGTTAGGAGTTCTAGTACTCCTCCCCTCTCCGCATCCCTCCTCGTTGCTTCCTCTCCGAAAGTCTCGAGTTCCCCCCACCCCTCCTCCTTATTGTATCCATTCCACCGGGAGCGCTGTGGCAGGCCGAGGCGGAGAGAGGGGGATGAAGAAAGAACGGAGATGAAATATGCCTTTTCCACCTCTCCCTGTTGCTCTCCTCCCGAGTGTCTCGAGGTCTCTTTTCTGCCTTCCTAATCGGTCGCACGAGCCTCTCCTCTCCTCATGTCTCTTCGCTACTTCCCGCCCAGGTAACTCGAGTTTCCCACCCACCTTCACACTGTTCCTTCCACCGGGATCTTATGTGACGAGTCGATCCAACACTCCCGGTGTGTTTCCCACAGACACCCTCCCACCCCGTTTCTTGTTTCTCGTATCTCTCCCCGCAGAGTTCTAGTGCTCCTCCCCTCTCCGCACCCCTCCTCGTTGCTTTCTTCCCGAGAGTCACGAGTTCCCCCCACCCCCTCTCGTTGATTCCTTCCTTATCGTATCCTTTCCACCGGGAGCGCTGTGACGCTCTCCTCCCGAGTGTCTCGAGGTCGTCACCCTCGTTTTGATGGGCAGTGGTGAAGCGGGGGGAAGAGGGCGAGAAGAGAAGGTCTTTGGGATAGATGGGCGAGCCGATGTGGGGGGGAGGAG